CCCCAAAACCCCAAAACCCCAAAACCCCACAGCGAATGAAACTGATAATAAAAAAGGAATTTTATATCTCTAAAATAAAATAAAAAGGAATCACTAAGAAATATGTCAAAAAATATAATCAACGTAAGGACATATGACCCTAAATTTCCACATTATTTCGCAGACGGTACCGGCAAAGATGCTTTCATTAATTACAATAATGGTGGACTTGCTTTAGCTAAAATTCCTTTTCATCACGAATCCTCAGCTTTTTACTCCAAGCGCTAACCTTAATCACCATCTCCCTTAAAGGATGCAGTGGCTTTTCAGTACAGACCAGACGGCACTGGAAGAGATACTTACATCTACTGCAATTCTGGTGGTTTAAAGAACACTTCTTTCACTCCTTATGATGAAAAGAACTTCCATAATTCCCTTAGGACTTAGGAGCTATAATCAACTAAGTACTCAAGATTAAAACCAAAGTGGGATTAATCAGCAGATATCACCAGTTACCTGAACTGGAGGACTCCAAAAATTCAAAATTAAGTTTAAGAATTCGCCAAATAGCAGAAGGCTATGGTCTAAAGACTTTCTCCTATAAAGAACACCACATTTGATAATGGTAATAAATACAATACCACAACAAGTACAATGAGGAACAGCAGATTAAATATTAAGGATAATCTGAACATGACCTCAGACGGCTTCAATAATAATAATGATAAGTACACTTCGTCTTTGAATCAAAGCATTGAAATGAATTAAGGCAAAGAATTTTAAAATCGGTATTCAATAGCATAAGACTAGAATACAATAGCCAAAAGGAACAGAAGAGGAGTGAGCTAAAAACTTATCTCTGACAGTGGCAAAGCTTAACTATTTAAGACTTAGAAGAATCTGAACCTTGATGATTAGACTGAGGGCTACAAAAGAAAACTCTTAGACTTGTCTATTTCGAAGATCAATGCCTTTAAAAAAGAGGACTTACTCAAAAATATTAAGAATAATCAGTGAATGATAGGCAGTTGTAATGTATGACAAGTGTTAAATCACTTTGGATAATACATATGGAATATCTATCTTGCTTTCTATAATATAAGTATGATGGAAAAGGAGAATTTCAGTCAATCAAGCAGACTAATATATTTTTATTTTTAATCTCTTTAATCAATCAACATCAATCTATTTCAGTAATATGGGGTTTTGGGGTTTTGGGGTTTTGGGG